CCCCCCCCGCCCCCCCCCCCCCGGGGGGCCGGGGGGGCGAGGGGGGGACAGAGTGGGATTCAGAAGTAGAAACGGAAGTGAAAGTAATAGAGGCTGGCAGGAGGGGGGGGAGGTACACCCTTTTCAGCGGTTGGTACCATGTTTACCCTTGAAGCTCGTTTGTGACACGTGCAAAAATAAATCATGTAAATGTTCATTCTCAGCAAATTAATGGGTCCCCGTATATTAATCATGCCCTTAATATAAGAGTCTTTTCCCCCAGGGTAATTACCGAAGCTATAGGTGGCTGTTATCATGCAGATCACAGTTTTCCAGAACTTTGCACCCGTGGACGGTGTGGGTGGAAGATTCTGAATAATTAAGCACACGCTATAATTCAGTTTTTCCTCACGCATCCGATGGGCCGTGAAGGAATTCTCTTTTGGAAAGGACATATCACATACGTGGGCCAAGCGCCAAGGCGCTCTTGTGCCCAGAAGGGGAGGGACGGGGCAGGTCGTGTGGCCCTTTAGAGGCAGTGTCTTAGGTCACGCCCTCTAGAAGCAAAGCCCCGAGACAGGTGTGCAAGTGATTAATTGAAGTTGGGCGCCCAGGGAGTGAGGGAGTCCAGCCGGGCAAGGGAAGGAAGCCAGGCAAAGACGTGACTTCAGAACGAGTCTTAACTCCCCACGGCGAGTTCTGGCGCGTGGGTTGTACCACAGAGTATGGCCTCCTTGAGGTGAGGGACTGGGCTTTTAGATGCCCGCCGTCAGTCAGCCACTGTTCACGGGCTGAACGGTTGGGGAGCAAGGGTGTTTCCTAACCTCCAGGAGGTGGCTTCCGTCAGCTGAGGCTGACCCTCGGCAAGAGGGCACGGGTGTGAGAGTGTTAGCAGTCAGCACCGTCAGCAGCTGGTCGGGGCGGGCACCGCGAGCCTCTGCTACAGGCGCTAACGCCCTCCCTGTTAGCACCTGTTTGTGGACCGTGTGTGTCGTACTGTGGAGGTAGGGCTAGTGAGCGCTTCCTACGTGCCAGGTGCTGTTCTAAGCATCTTGCAGAGATAGCTAACTTAACCACGGTGAAGCCGTTAATACTCATTTTACAGCCGAGGAAACTGAGCCGCGGGGAATTAAGTCACTCCTCAAGGCCACGTGGCTCACCAGTACTGGTCCAGCCCGGGAGCCTGGCCCTCCAGGCCGGCCTCAGCTCTGTGAGGCGCGGCGGGACTGGGGCACGAATCGGAGCCCACATAACGGGGACAGCAGTTGTGACTTTGCCTTCGGTAACCGCCCCGCGTCCGCAGGCGACAGCTGCACTGAGCACGTGACCATGATCCCGGGGGCCCCCTCTGCCCTGGCACCGTGAGGGCGTGAGGATGTTGACAGCACTTCCTCTGCCCCCCCTTCCTCCGGGGAGTTGGTCTTCTTGGCAAGAGATGACCCACACACTGAGAACAATCCAATTTTTTGCTCAAGTGCCACAGCGGACGAGGGGGAGGGAAAGCAGGTATTTTGAGCGTTGGTGTGGAGAGCTGTCATCCTGTGGGTAGGGAGCTGAGGTTTGCTCTGGCGCTTAGCATTTTCAGAGCAAGTTGGAAAGGACTTAACCATGTGGATAATTTTGTACAAAGTCTTGCTTTTGTTTTTTTTCTTTTATTTTTTTCTTTTATTTTTTTTAATTTTTTTTTTCAACGTTTATTTATTTTTGGGACAGAGAGAGACAGAGCATGAACGGGGGAGGGGCAGAGAGAGAGGGAGACACAGAATCGGAAACAGGCTCCAGGCTCCGAGCCATCAGCCCAGAGCCTGACGCGGGGCTCGAACTCACAGACCGCGAGATCGTGACCTGGCTGAAGTCGGACGCTTAACCGACTGCGCCACCCAGGCGCCCCTGTTTTTTTTCTTTTAATACGTAAGCACCTGAATACCGTTTGCCTTGACGTAGCGCTATTGGAGGTCACCAGTGTATTTTCGCTCGTGAATAAACGTTACTTTTTGTTTAACAGACGTGGGGTAATTTCACATGTATGCAGAAAAGCTTTGTCAAGTGAATTTGAGAGAAAACGGTGTTGGGGGCGCCCGGGTGGCTCAGTCGGTTGAGGGTCTGGCTTCGGCTCAGGTCGTGATCTCACGGTTTGTGGGTTCGAGCCCCGCGTCGGGCTCTGTGCTGACAGCTCAGAGCCTGGAGCCTGCTTCAGATTCTGTGTCTCCCTCTCTCTCTGCCCCTCCCCTGCTCACGCTCTGTCTCTCTCTCTCTCACTGGCTCTGAGAGGTGAATAAACATTTAAACACAGAGAGAGAAAACCGTGTTTGTGGCCTCGTGGTCCTTTCTTGCCTGCTGGATGTGTCCCAGTTCTGACACTGCTGCTCCACTGGGAACGGCCAGAGGAAGAGGTCAGGGGCTCATGGCATGTGCTCTGACTTCACACCCTGTGAGCATTGCCTCTTGTACCAGTCTTCTTTGTCAGATGCCCATCTTCATTTATTTGACGCTGTTAGAGCCCTCGTTTTGCAGGGTACTTTAAGGTTCAGTAGTATTCCTCTCTGGGACTGTTAAGTTGTGTTCAATTTTCTCAGTTTGACATTTTTTTTTCCTCTTGTCTGGAACTTGAGTGCTTCGGCCAGGGAAGAAAAGGACTGAGAACAATAAAATCTAAACTGTTGACACTGAATTGTGTACAGGTCACTTTACGTACCTTTTGTCCTTGACCGCGGTTAGCGGCCTCTGGGTCTGGGCTCTTCTGCCTGAAATGTCAAGGAACACTGCCGTGGGAGACAGTTTGGGGTGCCCGTTAGACTGGGCGGTGGCAGCAGGGTAGAGAGGGCAGATTCCGGGGGCGCCTGGGTGGCTCAGTCGGTCAAGCGTCCGACTCCTGCTCTCGGATCGTGGGTTCTCGCACCGCATCGGGCTCTGCGCTGACAGCAGCCTGCTTGGATTCTCTCTTCCCCCTCTCTGTCTGCCCCTCCCTTGCTCACTCTCCCTTTGCCTTTCTCTCTCAAAATAAATGAATTAAAAAAAAAAAAAAGAGGGCGGAGTCGGGGCACCTGGGTGGCTCAGCCAGTTAAATGTCCGAGTTCGGCTCAGGTCACGATCTCACGATTTGTGAGTTCGAGCCCCGCGTCAGGCTCTGTGCTGACAGCTCGGAGCCTGGAGCCTGCTTTGGATTCTGTCTCCCTCTCTTTCTGACCCTCCCCCGCTGGTGCTGTCTCTCTCAAAACTACATAAATGTAAAAAAAAAAAAAAAAAAAAAAAGCAGAGTCCGCAGCTACGCTCCCTGTGTGAAGTCACACGTTCTCCCGCCCCTGGCTCTGTGACCTCGAATAAAGTATTTGGTCCCGCCGTTGAGCGGGCAGTGTGACAGGGCCGTCATCGCGGGGTCGCAAGGATCCAGTGAGACCCAAGGCATACAGGCCAGCGCTGGCCCCCAGTGAGGTTACGCGCGTGTTAGCCTCGTGTGGTGTCCGCCCGTTGCGCTGACCCGGGGTTTTGGCGTGGTCTGTAATCCACAGACGACATGGCCTTTGACGTGTCCTGGTTCGCGGTGCACTCCTTCGGTCTGGACAAGGCTCCCGTCCTCCTGTCTTCTCTGGATCGGAAGGGGATTGTGACCACGGCCGAGAGAGACCGGAAGAGTGAGCTCAGCCTGGAGCGTGTCGGCGTGCTGGAATTCTTGCTGCGAGTCCACGGCTCCGAGGACCAGGACTTTGGCAACTACTACTGCTCCGTGACCCCGTGGGTGAGGTCCCCAACAGGCTCCTGGCAGAAGGAGGCAGAGATCTACTCCAAGCCCATCTTTGTGACTGTGAAGATGGATGGTAAGGAGGACGTCCGGTTACGTCTCTGGGCTGTGCGGCGGCCGACAGGGTCAGGTGGCCGCCCTTCGAGGAATGTGCCACCCAGCACCCGGCCCTCTCTCTCTCTGTAGACCTGCCCTGGGCCGGCACGCAGAAGGAGGCCTTGCTGCTACCCCAGGTGCGGCATCGTGTGCCCGAGCCGCCACCGGGAGGTGGTGGTTAGGACTTACCGGAGAGACGTTTGATGGTTTCTCCTAATTCTGTGCAGACCCCTTTCCCTGTCACGGGGCTGGCATGGGTTCTGCCAGGCAGAGCCAGAGAATGGCATCGAGGGAGCGGGTTCAGGGCCCCAGGAGAGGCGGTGAGTGGGTTCCTGCCCCTCCTGCCCTCTTGGTTTTGCTTCTTGGAAAAGGGAGGATCCAACTGGTGTCATTAGCATGCAGGGGGTTCTCTCCAGAACCCTGGGACGAGAAGAGGGCTCCCTGCCTTGTTGGCCAACACCGGCCTCCAGAGTCATTCTAACTAGGTGGTCGGAGGGCCCCCTTCCCACCCCTCTGTTCCCCGAGCATCCCGGAGCGGGGGCAGCTGTTCCTGGGCTAATGAGAAACCTGTCTTCTCTGCAAAAACTTCAGAGTACACGTTAATGGAGAAATTCCCGGGAGAGAATTAAAGTCCTGGCGCCTCCGAGGGTTAGGGGAGAGCTTTGAGTGGGTGTCCCTGAGGAGATGTCAGTGTGGGGGAGACTGGAACTGGAGCCCCAGCTTGTCCACAGATGCCTTAGCCTCTGTGGCTCTCTGTCTCCTCTGCCGTACGATGGGCTCTTCCGAAAGGTGAGCGACATTAAATGCCAGCTGACGGCAGGCGTGCTAGCACCCGCGCAAAGAGTGCTGCTGCTTCTGGGAGAAGGGACTCGGGATTTGGGGGTGTGCGGTCCGTACCGTGTCTGTGCATTCCTGAAACTTCGTCATTTATCCCATTTGCATCGCAGAAATTCCTTGCTTCAAGTAGCTCCATATGAAAAGCCAGATTTCCTGAACAAGGGAGGGAATTATTCACTTTCCTGGATAATCGACTCTAGTGTTACTTAAAATAGCCCCGCTAGTACACTTCAGTTATTCGATGCACAGAATTGATGTATGAACAGTGTTGTGTGTTATTTTTTTTTTTTTAAGGACGCATCTGCTGCTGACTGTGCGGCGCCCTTATACTGACTTTTAAAAATCAGTCTCCTGCCAAAACCCTAAAAAGCAAGCTGACATTCAGAGACATCAAACGAACGAAATCTTTCTCCCGGTTTTTTGTCTCTCCCCCACAGAACCGGGCGGGGTGTCATGTGCTCACTTTGTGGGCAGATAAGAGGGCTCCTGCCCCGAGCGCTGCGCTAGGTGCTGGGGACAGCTTGAGTGCCAGCTGGGCCCCGCGGGGACACCCGCTTGGGTGGGGAGGGGAGGGTAAGGGAGGGGGCAGGCTTCCCGAGGCCACCTCCTCGCACCACTGACCGGCATCCCCCTGTTCCTTCCCTCCAGTGCTGAACGCCTTCAAGTACCCGCTGCTGATCGGCGTGGGCCTGTCCACCGTCATCGGGCTCCTGTCCTGCCTCATCGGGTACTGTAGCTCCCACTGGTGCTGTAAGAAGGAGGTCCAGGAGACAAGGCGTGAGCGCCGCCGCCTCATGTCCATGGAAATGGACTAGGCCACGCCGGGGGAGCCGCGACAGGGGCGGTCTAGGAGCGACGGGGCGGGAGGAGGACCACGATCTTTTTCACGCGCAGTGTGTGACACTAGAAACCAGTCCTCTCCAATCTCAGGTGGGACCGGGCGCTCTCTCCCCCCCCCCCCGCATGTCAAGTTCGGAGCGCGGACACGTTTACCAGCCCACGACTCTTCTTCCCACGGCACTTTCTGGTAGAACAATCGCGTGTGTGTGTTCCCGGCTGCGGCTTTTTAATGGTTACCCTTTGTCTAATTTTTTTCTCCTACCAGTTTATAGATCTCTGACCTGTGTGTGTTCGTATGTTTGGTTTCGAGGGGTCGCGGTGAGGAAGGACGGTGGCTCTTAGAGTTCTTTGTCTTAGGTGAGGACAGAGCTGCCCACCGGGAGCCAGCTTCCGTGTCGGGCCCGTGTTAGGAGGGCCGCTAGACGAAGCCGTCCGCCCCGGCCCAGCGACAACACAGACCTGTGCCGCAGGCTCATTCGTGGCTTTGACCACGCTACCCACCCCGTATTTTCAGGGGTTTAGACATTTGAAATCTAAACTTGCAGTATGTAACTTCTTACTGAGCCCAAATGCTTTTTTTTTTCTTTTCCTTTTCCTTTTTTTTTCTTTTTTTTTCTTTTTTTTTTTTTTGCTTCTCTGCCCCCTTTCCATTTCTTTCGTATTTGCTTTATGTGAGTGTGCTGAAATGGCCCTGGAATCTAGAATTTGGCTCCCCACCAAGCACCTTATCTTGCCACCTTAGCCTTAAGAATGAATATGAAGAAAAATACACAGCCACCTCTGTCCGGGGCAGTAAGAAGGTCCTCAAGGAAGACGAGGTTGGGGACAAGGGAAGGAGCAGGCCCTCCGATGGTTCTGAGGGCGCCGTGCCTCAGGGGGCCCCAGGGAGCGCAGAAGAGGGTCCTGGGGGGTCAGCTGTCCTCGGCTCGGGCCAGGAGTGTCGGGGTGCCGGGGCTGTGTCTGGAGGAGGACGCCACCTCCGTCCCCCTCTCCTGCCCTTCGTGGGAGGCGAAGGCCTCGGCCACCGAGGGACACCCACACGTGTACCCCACGTCCTTCGTGGCTGCTTGGGCTCCTTAATGTGAAGGTGTATTGCTGCTTGCAAGACTGACCGACTTCACAGAATCAGAAATTGCCTGGAAGAACCGTGCATTTTCCATGACCTTTTCAGCCCTTCAAGTCGTCGTAAGACCCCCCGCCGGGGGTCAGCGAGCAAGGGTACGCTTTGTGGTATGTTTGCTTTCCTGTTAGGAACACGAAGGAAACCAGCAATTTACTGCCGTGTGAACAGCCTACAAAGTAGATCTGAGAGCAATCCGTTTTGCCCGACTGCTCGTACCCGGAGTAGGACGCGGACCAAAAGAGCTCCTCTGCTCCCTGAGGCATCTGCCCCTGCATAGCACTGGCCTTTCGGAAGCATCCCAGTGGGCTTTCTGAGGCTCACTGGTGAGTCATGCCCCGCATTGCAATCCTCTGCTCTTTCATCCTGGCTCTGACGGATCTCACGCTGCTCTGTCTTCCGAAGGGAACAAAAGATTCGTTTGTTTTGAGCAATAAAGTCCTACAAAATGATGGCCATTCATGTGCGGCTCTTTGTCACAAGGGGCCAGACGAGCCACACTCCCCCGCCCACCGGCTCACCATCGTCCCCGCTGCTTCCCTCCCTGCGCTGCCCACACACAGCCCACTCTGCCCTTGTCACTGAGTCACCCCCAGGAGGCAGATTGCCACCCCGCTTCCCTTTTTGTCCTGCCCACCTAGGGGACCACTCACGGTAGACGCCGTGTTAACGGTAGTGGCACAAGTGAGTTCCAAGCCCAGCACCTGCCCCACCCGAGCACGGGTGACCAGGGGAACAGGAGGAGGCCTTGATGGCACTAGCTTCGGGTCTTTTCTCCCAGTTGTTTCTTAACTATGCCATCTCAGAGGAGGTGGGTCCCAGGTGATTGTATATACGGGAACGGAAGAGGGAACACACATTCACAGGTGCTACGTTAGGGACACCAGTGCCCTTTGAGTCCACACAGTTATCACCATTAAAAGAAGGTTCAGGATTGTCGTAGTGCAGGCCCTTCTTGGTAGAGCAAAGGGTGCCTTGCTGTGAGTGTGGCCAGGTGGCCCCAGGTATGCGTTAAAACCATGGATGGGTCACAGCAGACACACGGCAAGTGACAGGTGTTCACATGCTGTACCTTCTGCTCTCAAACCGCCACTGCTGGGGGTATCGCTCCGTGGCAGAGCATTTGACTGCAAACTGCCACTGCAGCTCGAGGCTGGGGTTGCTAAGGCATTGACGCCAACCCCACCCTGTGATCGTGGGGCTGGCCACACTGCCAGTCGCCTAGGGGCTGGTACAGAGGAGGAAGAAATCCCAGGGTGTTGTACCAGGGACCTCACTCCATCCAGGGCCAGAAACTGGCCTGGAATGTGTGTCCTTTTAAATATGTGAGATACACTCTCTTGCTGTACCAAATACGGCTGCCCCCCGCCCCCCCCCAAAGTGCTCTTGTGGTAGGGGGTTGCTGCCCGAGGCACAGGTGTGTAAAAAAAAAAAAAACAACCCAAAAATAAAAAAAATTAAATTTCAATTTCTAAAAAAAAAAAAAATTTTTAAAAATTTTTGTTTTTTTTTTTTTTTTTTTTTTTTTTTTCCTAATCATAAAAACAGCCCCCAGGAAGAGCCTAAGCTATGTTCAGATAGAAGCCTCAAAATTACTTTCAATTGTTTACTTTATGATGTTTACATAACACTTTTCACTTTTTAAAAAAGAAAAAAGAAAAAAAAATGCAAACTCTGACTTTTTAACAACGCTTCGGATTTTTCATGGGACGATGGAACTCTGACTCACCAACTGGATTTAAATGTTAATTTAGAAATGTATTTATTTGTGTATTTTCCCCGGCGGGGGGCCCCCCCCCACGTGGCTTTTCCTTAAGATCCTGGCAAAGGACATCCCTCCTGCCCAGACCCTTGTCTGTTTCCCCCGGTGGCTCTCGCTTCTTGCTTTACAGACTGCCTGCAGCCATGATTTTGTCACTGACATCCGTGAGCCAAAGACTGAGCCTTTTGGGCAGGAATAATAAGCAATACTACACAACTTGCTACTTTCAGAAAACTTGTGTTTTTTTTTAGCATCACCGATGGCAGCAGAGGAAGAAGGGATCTGGGATTTCGGTAAGTCCTCCTCTGCTGTTTGACCAAATTCTCCGTGATAAATATTGCGCGCAGATCGCTAGGAGGAGAAAAAAAAAAAAGTTGACTCTCTGTCTTTCTTAGCGTCGCACAGAAGGATCTGCCAGATTTTACGTAGACAAAGAAAGGGTCTCGTGTATTTTTGTCCATACCCGATGTTACATGAACTAATTGTATTGTTTTATACTGTGACCACAGATATTATGCAATGCACCGTTTGTTTTTTATTTCATTAAAGGAAGTTTAATTTAAATTGAAGTCGTGTGAGGAACTTGGTCTCGTTACCTTTTGGTCCCCTCTGCGTGAGGCATCACGGCCGAATGCCAGTGGCAGCTTTAACACCTTCCGATCTCTCTGACTCGTGGCAATAACGTTGTAGGTTTTCACTAAAGATAGAAGTGGATTTAACAGGATCAGTACTGAGAGCCCCACCACACGGAAAGCTGGGGGCCAGGATCCTGTTGCCGAGGAAGGTCTCCTGGTTCTTTGGTAAGTTCTCATGACCTTATGGGTCTCTCGTCATTAGAGGGGGAAGTTGGACGTTGTTCCTTTCTGCGGATGAGGAAACAAACGCAAGGTTCTGTGACCTTATCGTGACTGGAACACAACGGCTTTTCTGACTCATGACCCAGTCTGGAGCCAAACTGGTCCAGAAGGTGCCGGCCCCTGTGATAGAAAAACAGTGCTCCTTCCCAGGCCACCGGCTTCTGGAGCCCCAACTCTCTGCTGGTCTCTGCCCCCCACCCCACACTCCCCTGTGGGTCCCCTAGTGTCCTGGGTAGGGAGCTTCTCTGTGAGGTCTTCAGGGGCCGGGTCTGCGTCCCAGTTACTAACCTTGCCTAAGGATGTAGAAGGTACATGCAGTGTATAAATGCACAATTAATGCCATACTGTGGGGGATGGCCCGTCGCTCATGCTTCTCGGTGAACCGGGAGGGTTCTGCTCACATCAGAATGTGACATAGTCACAGCTGGGTTTTAGCAGCCCCCTACCGATGACCAAACCTGTTCCTACCTCAGTTTAAATCAAAGACAAAACGACAGGGCGCCTAGGTGGCTCAGTCGGTTAAGCGTCCGACTTCGGGTCATGATCTAACGGTTCGTGGGTTTGAGCCCCGCTTCGGGCTCTGTGCTGACAGCTCAGAGTCTGGAGCCTGCTTGAGATTCGGTGTCTCCCTCTCTCTCTCTGTCCCTTCCTGCTTGCATTCTCTCTCAAAAGTAAATAAACATTTAAAAAAATTTAAATTGAAAACAAAACAAACATTTGCTTGCCCACGTACCATTTGCTTGCCTGGCTAACTTGTACTTGGGTCCCAGGGAGCCTTTTCTGCTCCTCCCGGCTAGCTGAGGGCCCCCTGACAAATGCTGTGGAAGCCTGAAAGTGGTGTGAGGGCAGGGCCCATTCGCTGCTGTGGCCCCAGGGGCCTCATCATGGCAACAGCAAACACGGGGGTTATTGTAATATGCCGTGCACCAGGTTAAGTACCTCCAGTCTTCCCACGGTGGCTTCAGCAGACGCTGTCTTAACTGCTCTCCGTGTAACTGGATCTTCCCGATAAAAGCCACTCATTAACTCTGACCCACAGACCACTGTACGTCGCACCCTGTTTTTTTTTTTTAACATACGGGTTTTGTTACTATTAGGTGTTACAGGGCCAGCAGAACAAGAGATGACCGGCACTGAAAAGCTAGTTTGTTTTATACTCACCGATCCCAAGAGGAGGGGGTGCACCGTGCCACACGCTGGGAGGCCACACGGCCGAGACCAGGGTCCATCAGGAGGCGGAGGGCGGGGAGAAGCACAGGCAGCAGCCTTTATCGTAGTTTTCACGGGGAAGAACGGGCAAGGCAGGGTCCGCAGTTTGGCTAATTTCATTGGGCTCTGGGGTGCAGAAAACCTAGTTTTCTGGTACCTGGCCCTGGGGTGAGGAGGGCAGGAGACAGTGGTCCTGAGTGTGGGTGCCGCTGGAGAAGGTGGCGGGGGCGTGGGCTCTGGGTCCGCGGCTTTGTGCGTGCAAGGCATGCTCACAGTGAATCAGTTCCTCTCTCTAGGAACTGGCCGGCTCTGGGAGCAGCGGTCTCCAGGGTCAACGAGGCCCTAGATATCAGAGTCTCAGAAAACAACATAGAAGGACATGATTAATACGTTCGCCACTTGAGGCTCGCCGGCTGCACGGGCACACCTGAGTTCCACCTGCAGCGGCGACGTTCACCTCAGCCCTCGCCGTCCTGATTATCCTCCAACCTGTTTGTGCCACCAGTGTGGCTCCTGTGATTACGTAAGTCCATTGCACGGCCACCAGTTGAGATGTGAGTGCCAGAGAAAGAGGTGCGGTGACGAGAGGCCTAGACATTTACAGGTGACGACCCTACTCCCACCCAGAATTTGGACACTTAGGGAAGGACTTGAGTTTAGGAATCCTGCCATCAGTCCCCACTTTGTGTTTCTCTGGACACCTTTTGAAATAGCCACTTGGAGGGGCTCTTTGGGAACAAGACCCTGTAATACACGTGTTTGTAATTTCAGAAGCTCACATAGTTATTTATTGAACAACTTAAAATATTTTGTCACAGGGGTACCTGGGTGGCTCAGTCGGTTAAGCGTCCGACTTCTTCAGCTCAGGTCACGATCTTGCAGTGTGTGGGTTTGACCCCCGCGTCGGACTCTCTGCTATCAGCACAGAGCCTGCTTCCCACCCTCTCCCTCTGCCCCTCCCCAGCTCCTGCTGTCTCTCTCTCTCTCTCTGTCTCCCAAAAATAAATAAAAATTTAAAATAACCATTTAGAGTGAAGCCCTGGAAAAGTTGGAGTGAGACCCTCCACCCCAAGCTCCTTAAAGTTAATAGGGTTTGCTCCCCTGCTCTCTATCTCGTGCTCACCCGTGACCTTGGCACGGAGGCCACCCTAACCCCAGCTTGGTGCCCCCACCCCCGTTGGCTGGGATGTGTAAGTAATAAATCTTGTGACTTTACGTCCTTTGTGTGAGTGTCTGGAAACTACACCTTCCATCAAAGCGGCCCTGGGGGGCTTGGATGCTGAGGAAGCTACCTGCTGACCCCACGTCTGTGGCTCGTGCCCCCTCATTCAGTAGGTCATAATCTGCATATTCTTAACTGCATACAGCAGCTCCAGCTTGCCAACCAAGTGTGGATAAAAGTAAGATGAATTCTGGAAAGGCTCAACCGAGACAAATTGCTTTAAAAAAAAAAATGCTATCAATAGGTCCAGGCAAAACTGTTAAAGACTGATGGCGGACAAATCACGAAAATGTGGAAAAGATTCTGTACTTTGTTGGCTTCGCAAATGTTTCTTAAATTCTTCATTTGAAAGAAATCGTAAGGTCTTACTTCATTTGAAATAACTCAAACTTTAAAGTTTTAGACTAGACATGATAGGTTTGGTCTCTGCAGGAAAGGGTTAGAAGCCTCCGGAAAACAGACGCATGCTCCAAGGAAAGACCTGGGCTTATGTCGAGAGATTGGTGAATGAATATGTTGGTTGAGGTGAAGATAACGTGTAAGATACACAGGAATCTTCTTCCAATTGAAAATAACATGCGTAACGTACATAGGAATCTTCTTCCAATTGAAAATAACATGCGTAACGTACATAGGAATCTTCTTCCAATTCTCAACTTTACCTGACATTTTCTGTTCATTGACCAACAGCTCTAATCATTTCAGATGATAGAGTTCCTGCTGTTAATATTCCCGTTCTTAGAAATAAGGAAATTACGACACATTAATTTGCTCAAATGAACTAAGAATTGAATTGAGACCTTTCTGACTCCAAAGTCTATACATTCATGCCCCCCACTCCTTATCTGCAGAGGATACATTCCAGGACCCCCAGAGGACGCCTGAAACCACAGATAGTACCAAACTGTATACTTAATGTTTTTTTCCTATGTGTACATATATACAGTTTAACTTACAAATTAGGCATAGTAAGAGGTTAACAACAATAACTACTAATAAGATGGGACAATGATAACAATATACGATTACAAAAGGTGAATGTAGTCTCTCTTGTTCCCAAAATATCTTGTTGTCCGGTAACTCTCCTTCCTGTGATGAAGTGAGGTGAATGACGGATGTCAGCATTGTGATGTAGCGTTAGGCTACTACTGACCTTGTGGCGGTGTGACAGAAGGAGGATCACCTGCTTCCAAAAGGCCGCAGGTGCCTGCAGAAAGTAAAGCCGTGGGTAAGGGAGAAATTCCTGTGCATGTTGTAAATCAGTACACCAGCCACAGAGCCTGAATATTTTAAGCATTGAGTATTTGTTGACTAGATAGATGAGTCAGCACTGGATCCTATCACTACGAAATTTCATAGGTCTTGTAGGAGAGGGTGGCACATAAATAATTCATTTTATTACCATATAAAAATGACAGAATCTACAAGCCTAGATTTTAAATTGTTTTGAATGAACAGGTATTTCCCAGGTAGGGAGGGGGCAGGGTTCCAAGGAGAGGAGTTAGTATCTGCACAGTTAAAGAGGGAAACAATGGTAAGACCCAGCAGAAAGACACCGTTCTGTGTCTGAAGGGCAGAGAGTTGACAAGGGCTGGCTCATAAAGGTCAACTCAAGGAGTTTGGACTTGATCTTCTAGAAATATTTGAGGAGCCGCCGAAACACTTTGATCAGGAGAATGCCTGGCTAGGTTTCTATGTTACATTAACCGGTTAGCGGGGAGGGTGGTGTGCAGGGAAGGCTGGGAGATGAATTGAACTGTGTTAGTCCAGCAGCAAAATCGAGGCCCCCGGTTGTGACAGCAGCAGGTAGGATGGACTCCTCAAAGATTTGAGGAAGAGCCGATAGGACTTTATAACCGGATGTGGAGTGTGGAGGCCAGAGCGTGAGTCTGGGTGGATACAGGCGCATGCAACCACGTCGGACACTCAAAGTGTGAACAAGAAAACAAGGATTTCAGCTTCAGACTCCAGTCTGAGTTTCCTGGAGGACCTTCAAATGGACATGTTCTCCACCAGCAAGGTGGTTGGGCTGGCACTTAAGGGGCAAGGTGGGGTTGGAAGTGTATGTGATGGTCCGCATACAAAGGGGGATGAGACACAGCTGTCAGTTACTCCCTGGTAGGAAATTTAAGGACTAGCCCTTAGCAAGGGAGTATCTGGAGACGGCAGATGGCCTAGGAATCCCTTCTGCTGCTCTTTCTCTTCTGCTACCGTCCCCGACTCCCCATCTTCTACGCCCAAGCCGCATCCCCACCCAATGCCCTGGCTCTTGCCCCTGCCCACAGAAGTCCAGTTCAGCCTTTGCCCCACAGACAGGAGTCTCCATGCCCCATGAAAAGCTCTTCGGCCTTGGTTAACTAATTGTCAGCTCCTGGTGGAGCCAGGCAAGTGGGAAGAGACCTGGGTATCATTCTCCATCGTGGGGCCAGGTCACAGCTGGGCCCTCTCAAAGCCTGTTTCTTCCTCTGCCTCACAAGGGTGTTGACTGAGGTCAGTATGGTCCCTTCCTGTGGGGTCACTGCTGGGTGCTCCACGAATGTAGGCTCGGTCCGCAGGCTTCCTCTGCCTTGGCAAATTCAACACCTGTGGGATGGCCCTCAATCTGACCTAAGTTGCAAGAGCTCAAACAAGTAAAATCATGACGAGCTTCCTACTGACCCCTTGGGGTTTTTCTTTTCCATCTCCCCCCACACTCTGCCTTCTGGAATCACGAACGGCAAGCCAGAAAGGTATACTAGCAAGAGCACTCTCACCACACACCTGTCAGGATGGCTAAAATCAAAAACACAAGAAATAAATGTTGGCAAGGGTGTAGAGAAAGAGGAACCCTCGTGCATTTTGGTGGGAATGCAGAAACTGGTGCGGCCAGTGTGGAAGACAGTATGGAGGTGCCTCAGAAAGTTAAAAATAGAACTACCCTACAATCCAGCAATTCCACTACTGGACATTTACCTAAAGAATATCAAGACGCCAATTCAAAAAGATACATGCACCCCTGTTTATTGCAGCATTATTTATAATAGCCAAATTATGGAGGCCGCCCAAGGGTCCAGTAATAGATGGCTGGATAAAGATATGGTGTATGTACACACACACACACACACACACACACACACACACACACACACACCACATACACAATGGAATCTCATAAGAAAGAAACCTTGCCATTTGCAACAGCATGGATGGATCTAGAGGGTATTATGCTAAGCAAAATAAGTCAGAGACAAATACCATATGATTTCACGCATGTGGAATTCAAGAAACAAAACGAAAAGCAAAAAGACAAACGAAAAAACAGACTCCTAACTATAGAGAACAAACTGATGGTTACCAGAGGGGAAGGGGGTCGGGGGAATGGGTAAAATAGGTGATGGGGATTAAAGAGTGCACTTATTGTGATAAGCACTGGGTGATCTATGGAATTGGTGAATGACTATATTGTACATCTGAGAATAATATAACACTTGAATGTTAACTGTACTGGAGGTAAAATTAAAAAAATAAAAATCACTCAGCCAAGAGCAAATAGGCGTCCATTTCCTAGCCATACAATCTTGGCTAGGTCAGTTGATTCCTCTGAACCTCCGTTTCCTCATCTGTAAGATGGGATTAGTCATACCTGTCACATGGTGATGTGAGCTATTCTATAAAATCGTGTATATGAAAATATCTTGCACAAAGCCTACATGTAAAAGGTCCCTGTTGAAATATGTTGGGGCCTGAATGCTTCAGAGAGGAGGCCACATATCTAGCTGCTGTGATTTTGTGGGCTACGTGTGCATTTCAAGTCTCAAAAAAAACCCACACATTTCTTTTTATTAATCTTCCAGGAACTGGAACAAAATTGTTTCTTTTGTACATTCCTGTGTTGCTTTGTCCATTACTGGCTCTCTCCCTCCATCTGATTCAGGAAGTACATTTTTACATTCTTTTCAGCTGATACAATTACAATGCAGTGATTCCCCAGGTAATGGAATAACACTCTCTCTGGCTCTCTTTCTTCTTTCTTGTTTTTTCCCCCTGTGGACAACGGAAAGCTTCTTTTTCTTTTCTTTTTTCCTCTCCAGAAAAGAAGCGACATCACTCAGTCAGTGTTAATTCTGGCAGAAATGGAGCCACCAAAATGGAAAGGGGAAAAA